AATGAAAAAATTTCAAAATATTTTTGCTCTTTATTGGAAAAACAAGTAAAATGACAATAGTGAGTCACGAACCACCATGAAATACCCTACAACACCTTAAAAAGAAGGGGTGGCAAAAGTCGTCCCATCCACAGTAATTTTCTTGAGACAAAGCACGTCGGTGTATCAAATTTCACCAAAATACATCGAACATTGCGGCTTGTACGTTGAATGCAAGATAATAAAACAGAGATGTAGAGAGCCGAGCAGGCATACTAAGGTCGATGCAAAAAGTGCCTCTGAATAAAAGATAGGTCTATCTGAAATCTTTTTGTGCATTGCATATATCCACGAAAACTTAGTATGCCCTTGTGCCAGAAGTGGTGTGAGGTGAAGAACGCTTGAGGCCATAGCCATAGGTGAACATTCCCGTTCTCCTATCAGCGTGGCATATGAGAGTCATGTGAGAATCACTGTTAAGCAAATTCCGGTAAACATACATTTTGACATCAGCTGAAACATACATTATGAACAGCAACATTTTTGAAATTCTTATTTTTTTAAAGTTCGCATTAACACTCACCAAAACTGATTTAGAATGTATATGAAAAGGCTTTGAATCAAACACGCCATATATTTCGATAGCGTCATATATAAGTCCATATGGCAGACTCAAGGCGTAGTTAAAGTTTTTCAACAATGCATGATAATTATCATCATAGACGATTATGGCCCGCACGGTCCGTAAGACCCGGATAGACCCGCTTGTTTCCTTTCGAACAAAAAAAAAATACTTTGCAAAGCCTCACTTGACACTTCACGACCAGTTTTCAAGCATACAATTACATTTCATTTCCCATAAAACGCTGCTAATATTTCAGCGAGTCGAAATAGGCCACGTCACAGGCGATAAAATAGATAGAAATTGTTGTGGTTTACTGCCCACTTTTGACTTTAAAAGAAAAGAACATAGAAATACGGGCAAATGTTTCTCCCATGAGACCATTATTCCTCTAACGGGCTATGTAAGAGTTAGCCTTCTAACAAAAAAACAATAACAAAATGGTAATAGAACAGCGTAACCAAGTTTGTTTAACGTAAAATATCAATAGAGCAACATAAACGCAAGCAATAATTTATTGGAAAACTTAGTAAGCAAAATATACTCAGAGGTCGAGTCATTAAAAATCATCAGATTTTTGCTAGTTGTGGTCGAACCTTTGTGAAATGGAAGACGTCGAGTCCAGTCCTAAAGGTGCATAGTTCTTAAGTGGAAGTAATGCAATAATGCAATGTAGTAATGCAAATATTACAGATATTCGTTGCATTCTTTAAAATTTTTAAACCGATTTATCCGATTTCAGAAAATACGCTGCCAATGCTTGCTTCTTTGTACACTTTGTACATATATTTTATAGAATTTTCTATACGCATTTCGAAAAATTAACTTGACATCTGAAACCATAGTAAATAAATTTCCTTTTAATAATTACTTTCGAAACCATATGTTGAAAAAATTAATTTTAATCGCATTTCACGTCACCTTTCTGTCATGCTAGTATATGTGAGCTTATTAATTCTTTCATTTATTTGGCAAGATGAATAAAAATTCTTGAGAATTGCTAAAAAATAACTACTTTATCCTTCTCTTTTTTAACATAACCGATTACTTGGGGGTTGCTCTCTTTTCGTGTAAAACAGTGACGGTTAGAAAGAAGTGAGATAAGAGAAAGAGGTAGAAAAGCGATGACCGCAGCCTAGTGAGTGTGAGCTCAACCGGTAAACATTATGCGCTTTAGCTCCGGCTACGACCAAAGCAAACCCTACCGCACTTGAGGTTAGAACTTATGTTTAAATTACTTTCTCCATCGGCTATTAAAATCAGATAATTGAATGTGCGAAAATCCCAACATTCCCAACATACACGAATATCCTAATGTACCTTTAACTTCTAACAAATCAAAACTCTCATAAATATACCTAAAAACCTATTTAAAAGCCTAGAAGAAAACAATAAAAAATTCAAAGTGTACCTATAAAGTAGTCCTGTTGACAGCAACAGCTATGCCTGCTTAGAGTAATATTTCACACGATTGGAAATGCCATTCACCTGTGCGCTTTAATTGCTTTGCATGGCACGCAACCGTTTATGCTTTCCAACCTTTTTTTACCAATTATTATTACTATTATTATTAGTAGAGCCGGAGAATAAATTCTAAGACTAAAACACGAACATCTAAGGCTATCGGCTTTATTCAAAACTCTCTCTAAATTTGAGATTTGAACCCATGACCAAAGAGTTCCTAGTCGAGATTCTTTGCCTGCGCGTTCACAAGAAAATTGAATATTAAAAATTCATCCTAATTCTAACTTTTCGGAATTTTGTAACTGTTCTGTGCGCTCTTTGTTCATAAAAATTCTTCAAGTGTGGGATGAGTAGCTCTCCTGAACAATAAGAATACAATACTTTTCGCAAAAGCTATTTAAAAACATACGTTAGCAGATAATCGATCTGCTACGATTTCGTCTACATTCGCTCTAATTGTGGAAATGCAATATGAGACCGTCTAGTTGATCCATTAATTCCAGTTCGCAATTAAAGATAGGTCTATAAAATTGCTCGCATACGCATATATGTAAAACTTAATACATAAATATATATACGAATGTAAACGTAATGAAAGACGGAATGAATGAATGAGTTAATTAATTTTTCCTTTTTGACCATAGATGAGAAAGCATGTTTGAATAGCAACGTGACAATAATCCGCTAAAGCCAGTCTTTGCTACTATTCGACACCATGCAGCATGGTCGCTTAGGTACACATTCCCAGAAGAGAAGCTGCCAGTTGGGCTCTATCTATGAACCTACGTTGGAAATTCTCGTTTCTTTGTTCCTTCAATATATTTGCGGCAAATATTTCCACCACATTCAATTGTTGTCACGAGATTGCCACGGAGAGGAAACTTTTCAATTTCCATTTTTAGTCTCTACCGTTCGTATTCCTATTTCCAACAGGCAAACAACTCATTTTCGGATGTGTATTTGCGCTCGAGTGCGCGCATATGCAAATCATAATTTCATTGTAAAGGCACATGTTTGGAGCATCGCTATTTTCATTTTTTTTCTTATGGCTCTCCACTAGAAAATAATAACTGAATAAAGTCCTGTCCTTTACATTGAAATTAAATATTAATTTTTATAAGGGTTTTTTTATTACCTTACCTTTGCAGAACAAATATAAATAAAAGTTATTTTTTATTTTTAATTCTTAAGCAAATAAATTAAAATGTGTGTCGTTTTGACGTAATCAAGCAGAATAAATAAACTGAAACAATTGCGGAGTTTTTTCGCTACAGTGTCAATATTAAACAATTCATTAGCTATAAAAATAACAAATAAATGTACGTAAACTGTGATGGGAAAAAATTTACCAGAGACTAATGTACAATCGTTATGTTGTTTCTTGTTTGCCTTTTTCATTGTTACAGCTTATTATGTACATATTATATTATAGGCAGACAGTCGAATTAAAATCACTTCCAAAGAATCCGACAGATATTTATTATGAATATTTTCTTTTCAAACCCAAAATCATATCATCTTAGATATAAGAAATAGAGAATTGATCGAAGGATCAACAGAGATGTTAATCTAATTTAAAAGTTGCACTTTGATCGAGCATATATAAGTTACTCCTTTTCCTCATTACTCGCGTAATGATACAATTTGTATGCGAACAATCTTGTCGTTCTAGATATGAAAAGTTTGAAGTGAACATTAGTCATTTGTATGTAATCACATGTCTTTGGCTTTACCACGTCAAAGGTACTTAAGCTAATACTCAACGTATAATTCCTTTCTTTTTATTGAAAGACTGCTTGCGTTAAGAAGAAATATCTCGGTTTATATTTTATTTTATACTTATTTGAATAACTTTAATGAGAAAGATAAAATTGTTATCTATTTGCAAAACTTTCTATGAAATAAAAGTGTTTTCTATTAATAGCACAGGCTTCGGCAGAATCAACAAAATTCGTCTGTAAGCAATAAGTAACAGGAGAAAATTTTCAAGGCTTTCAAAAATACTACAGGACAACAAGAAGAAAAAATTTAAGGAGAATTTTTCTCTGAGAACTTTTTAAAGTCTTTAGAATCAATTTAACAAACAGACGACTAACAGAAGACCAACCATGAGAATAAGAAACGCTTATTCTCAGATGCAGGCAATTTTTATAAGAATTGAAAGCTAGCCCCATTTCCCGATAAATACTTAATTAGATCTCCGAAGCATATTTCTAGGCACGACATACATTCCCCAAATCTCTACTAGATATAAGAAGCAGGATCGATGGGCTTGTCAAATATAGAAGCTCGGAATGAAGAGCTGAACGCTATAAATGCGTTTGCATCGCAAATCATATAAAATTTTTTTTTTATATCGTATGCTTCTTCGTCCAGCAATATAATGCGAGCTATGTGTTCAACTATCTAATACCAGGTGCAAATAAGTATTATTTTCGCATTTGACTGCACGATACATGATCTAAACGCATCCGTTGTGTTCAGCATTTTAAATGAAATTACGAAATTTTTTAAAAAATCGAAAATCGTATGAAATGTCTGCTTATGAAAAGCCATATGGAAGAAGCAGAATCGATTTAAACTTAACCACCTGCTTTGTCTATTAAAACTGTGACTTCCAGTTCGATAATTTCTAAATCTGTTCTGTTCTTTTCAAAGTCGTCAGATTAAGTTAAAAGATTTATCGGAAGCCTCGGGTTACCTTTTCATATATTCATATTGAGTGGGAAAAGCCACTCAAAGAGGTCAAAGGCCAAGTTCATGTTCTTATCATTCTCGTGAGACTGAGGTTTTTTATTGATTCACAACCATTGGCCTCCATTTATATGATCAAACTTTTTGTTTTAACCGTACCGTATAAGACCTTCCCATGCACATGCCCATACATATGTATGTATATATATGTGTATATAAATACTATATCACTTTTGCTTACCTGATAAGAATTGACTTGTAATGCAGGCTATTATCAGAATAGAGCGCAGCATCGTTCTGCTTGTGAGGACGGTATATTTTGAGATAGCGTTGATGGTGATTTTTCTACAAATTCTCGTTACTTCGTTATTGGCAGCCATTTCTTTTGTTTTGCTTTTTTAGTCTTAATTTTTATTAAAAATATATAAATAACAATTCTTTTATTTACTATAAATACAATCACTAAATATATGTATAATTAAAAGTGTTATGCATATACTGATATCGTTTATTTCGTTTTTTTTTTTTTTTGATTTTTCTTTTAATACACTTTTTGTGAAAATTTCTTCTTCATCGGAAAGTCTGTTTTGTAGTTAGTTAAACAAATGGCAACGAGAATTTTCTCGACCCTCTCATTTACATCGTGGAAACTAAAAAAAAAAAAAAAAAGAAAAAGAGATTAAATAAGTAAATCATTTAATGAAAAATGCAACTATACCCAAGCATATTACATTTAGGGAAACTTTTCAAGCAAACAGTATACAAGTATAATTATCCTTACTCCTGTGTACGTTTTATTAAAACTACTTGTTACAAGAGTAAGCTTAACAAATATATAAACTATTTCAACAAATAAAAGTTTCAAATAATTTTTGTACCTGCCCCAGGTCCAATGTATTAACTTTATTTGCATAAAGTGTTAATCTTATTCGTTTCAAATTTATCTGCATTTAGTTTTCACGTCACTTAGTCTGACGTCTGTGAATGTATTTCCGTCCATGACCTGTTAGAAAGGAAGTTACAGCTTGATAAAGGTATCCTTAATGACTATTCACGGTAAAGGTAAATGGGATCTGATTAAATAATAATTGAAATTTGAAATTTCCAAAAAATTGCTATAGAAAAAATGCATAGTACTTATTTTACATGCGGTACATAGTAAATAACTAACCGGAACATTGTGGCTTTACACATTTACACACATTTACTTTGAACGGTCAACATTAAAGGTTTACTGTTAAACTTGTCGAAAAAGTAGCTAAGATTTCAGAAAATGCAACGAATACGATTGAAAATAGGCATTAACGGGTGCATCAAATACAAAAATTTTCGATCGACCGGAGTACTACAACAGTATTGATTTAATCAGATATTTCAATACAAGTAATTTCAAATCTATGATATACATACACACATATCTATATAAGTAAATACTAAATACTAGGCTACATTAACATATGGCTTTTGGTTATCGTAGATGAGTGCTTGGGTCGCGGAGCTAACAGAACTTTTAACGAACAAATATTTAAGATGAAGTTCAACGCTCTAAGCACTGATAAGTCGTAATTATTTAATTTTTGCTAACAGCGGGACAATGCAACAAACCATTCTTCAAATTTTCAAATTTAAACTGACGTGAGACTAAATAGGAAAAGTTTTTTCGATAAGATTTTATTTTATTAATCGTGACTTAAATACTTTGAAATGCATGCCTAATTCAATTCTATAGATTTAAATATATGTATGAGTAAGATATGTATATGGGGAAATGATCAAAAAACAAGGTGAATTTGCTTATAAAGTGAAAATCTATTCTTCTAAATCAATTTCATCGCCTTTCAAGCACTCCAATAATTTTTCTTCTTAACCGATTGACGTCGCGGACGACATTCATAGTGAGCATCGCAACGATAATCGAGGAAAATTATTAACATTGCTTTGACTTTTGAGCGACTTTGGTGCGGCATTTCTAATCCTGATTCAATTTTTGCACAATATTTTCTCGATCATTCGGTTGCTTTTAAATAGTATGCGTAGATCAATATCTTGATAATCTGAAATCGAAAGACTCAGTTTTTTATATTTACAAAAACACATGTAACGCTGCAACAATTGAATATATTGGTACTCGAAAATCCAATTAAATGCCCAAGCTATGGAAACATCATTTCATAGTGCCTGTGAAGTTTAAATGAAAAATTCACCTTTTCTTTTATATACGCTGTTTGGTCCTTAACGGATGTAATATACGAAACATTAAGTTTGGGCTTTGTTCCCTGCTGCTGTACATTGTTATTAAGGCATAGATTATGCTATATGCTTATTATAGCATTGATGAGTTTTTATATATGCGAATCAAGTCCAATATACGGTCTTTCTGCTTTTTGATTGCTTAAAATGAATCATTCAATCGGATAAAACACATATTAAAAATTTAATTAATTTAATTGGAAGAAAGTGTGGAGGCGGGCATCCATCCACTCTTATTAAATTAAGAAATTGTCTGCGCTATTTACATAAATATTTTTATGTTGACTCTGCTCACTTGCTGTGATATTCTTAGAAACTAATACTAAACCAAGTAATGATAATGACAATTAACATTTTTTATACCGATCACCGAAGGATAGGGGGCATATTCATTTTATCAAAACGTTTGCAATGCCGAGAAGGAAGCATCATACACTCCACAAATTATATATATTCTTGATCAGCATCAAATTCTAAATCCAGTTAAGCATGTAATGTCATTCTTCTGGTCGCAAGAATGAAGCTATAGACTTCAAATGTGACAGAAACCTTCGAAGCTCTTGCACGCAGGTTGGTATTGAAAATGCGCTAAATTGGTCGAAGGACCCGCCCACAGCACCAAGTAAACTGAAAACACTTTTGTTTTCAAAGGATAAAGAAAATTGGTTTTTTGGTCATTACTCATAAACTATTGCAAATAAACGTAAAAAAAATTGAACAGATATTCTCTGGGTGATGCTGTAGCATCTATGCACAAAAAGGGAAAAAATCGACATCGCTTACGCAATATTATGGTATATCAAAATGTGATAATTTTTTCAACACACAAAACAAGCTCCAAAATCCCCAAAAAGCATACAAATTCTTGGCCAGTTGCAGCCCTTGAGTGCACCTAAACATGTCCGCCACATCTGTCTATCTGCCTGCTTGCGTAACTTTGCAGTGTTCGTGGTAAACATTATCCGCTAGCGAAAATGAAGATATCGCCTAAAAGTTTGCAAAAGAACTTGGAATTGACCTAAACTTTTCAAAGGGCACGCCTACAACACTGAAACGATTCTATGACAGAAACTTTTATTTTGAAAATGGACGAAATCAACTGCGCCAGCCTTATATTACAGAGCATGAGAATTTTTTTCATTTACTTCTCTTGCCTTCTTTTTGGGATAAACGGTGATGGGCATAAAAGATTCGGTCCCGACCGAATTTACTTTTCTTACTTATTATAATTACAAAAGTTTTATGCGAATGATTTCATTTACTCTCATATCCACGAGAAGAGCAAAAAGGAAGCATACTGAAATTATATTACATTCTTATTCAATTTAATATAGCAAACTGCAGTTTTATGGTAAAAGTTCAGAGAAGAAGACTCTTTTTCTAGCTATTTTCTACACAGCTATGTCAATTTATGAAAACGAGTTCACTTGACTGTTGAATTGCCTTGTCGAAAACCACCAAAGTTACATAAGTAGCAAAAGTTTGATAACTTGGGCATAGAACAAGAATTGGTCAATAGGCGTATGCTTACAACTTTTCTACCCGAAGAAGACAATCAAGTCAAATTCACAACTGTGTAACCTTATAATACAGTACGAGTATATCAAGACTTATGGGATAAAAATACACCAAACACAGCCAGAATAACTCAATTCGACGCAAAAACTATTATGAATGCCAGCAAAAACGTCATCAAAGTATTTTGGCTCCTAATAATTCTTCTCAATCTTTCTTTATTTCAATATCACTTTCACGTGAAAATAGGTAACAGTATAATGCTTGTTGGGCACACATCAACTAGGTGACGGCTACCGCTCTCTCCCCTCCCCCCTCACCGTGCTACACGAATATCCCTGAAAAGCATTGATTACCTTACCCTACTAAGTAGTTCTAATATGTAAACTGAAAACATTTCAATATCTGATTTCAAATTATATATCATGCATACATGCGCACATATAAATACTAAGTAATTCCGAAACTCACCTATCCAGTTTATTAATATTTTTATTTTGTTGTTTTCTTAAAAAATTTGGTTGTTATTTTTTATCGTTAGGTACAAAAACGAAAAAAACATGTTGTAACATAAAGACAATGTCACTGGCATGCTTACAACGATTTGAAAGTACTAAGTACACCAAAACTTAGTTGGATATCCGCACTAGTGACGTTGCGAAATCTATTAGTTCAGCAAAAGCCAAAAATGGAGGTTCTTCTTGGAGCATACACCTTGACTTCATTATTCAATGTAATCAAACCCATTAATATAGCTAATCCGTCGATATATGATTAAAGGGTAGAAAAACTTGATGTGGTACCTGCACAAATTTTATTTGAAAGTAAATAAATGAAAAATTGAACTAACCCAACGTAGAGGCAGGGGCTTAATACTTTACACTAAGAAATTCTTAATATTCACTTGAAACCTTGGTATGACAATTTATCATTTTCTCTTGAAGTACACGAATTAGCCCGCTGTGTCTGCTCGTCCATCTGCGGTAAGCGTTCTGAAACAAGAAACTCTAACTTACTAGAGGACCAAGTTTAAGCTTAACGCACCTGCTTTTAAATCAATTATACAATTTTATTTTGATGGTGTTGGGAGTATGAGGCAAAAGGGGCAATTTCGGGAAAAGAGCTTAAAGTTTTATAGCATTTTTCCGGGGCAAATTTTAATAGGAAAATCAAAAAAATATTTGTGTTAAAAACTCGCTCCTAGTTGAACATAAAAGGCTTGCTTGCTTTAAAAAATCATTTACAACCCACTTGTTATACAAGGGAGAAAAAGAAGCGTTAAAGTTTTAAACAATTTTTTATTTCGTTATTATTACCGCCGTTATGTTATTAGAATTAATTTAGCCAGAGAAATAAATTCTAAGACTAAAGTCTTAAAGCACTAAGGCCTTGATGATCTGTCTATAGATCTTCTTACCTTTCGTATCTGTAGGAATATCTGCAGAACGCTGCTTTAATTATTACAATAAACAATTGCTCAAGTCAAGATATATGTATATACATATATATTTTATTTTTCTCCAATTAATATTTCTTGAAATGAATGTTCTAATTAATAAATTTAATAATAAAAACAAATCTGCACTTTTCCAAATAAAAATAAAAACAAAATATAAATATGCAGCACAAGCACTGGGGCAACTTGATTACATTGCAAAAATCTATTAAGACATTTTGTCTGTAAATTTTTTTTTTTTAAATATTTTTGATAAATCTCCTTTTGAAAAACACCCGCACTATTTGAAAAAAATTAATATATAAAATTTTAATGTTTCTCTTTTGTTATCTAATGTTATTGATTTCTTAAGTACACTATCAATTTGTTTTAAAATTCTGCTTTTAATGTTTTATAAATAGAAGTTTCTTTGTTTTAAACGTCCACGTT